CTTTTTCTTGCAGCTGTATACCTTTGTTTTTCTAGCCTTTGCCACCAAGTTAGAGCACACCAACAGAAATGGACACAACTTGCCTGACCTCACTTAAGACAACTGAAGGGACTGCGTAAAAAAAATGTTACATATACATACATCTCAGCTAGAGATAGATTTGTCTGACTTCAATTTCTTCATAGAGCTTATAACACTCAACAACAACTGGCAAGTAACTATCCAATTACTAACCCCTTGTGTGCATGTCGTGGTGCCTCTGTGAATACGTTCCTCCATATGGTGTGGGCTTGTCACCGTTTTGGGAGTTGTGGTGGAGGTCCTTAATGAAGTGTACGACTTGCAGTTAGGATTAGACCCCCTGGTGCTATTGCTGGAAAAAGGTGATGACTTAGAAGCGAGCCACTATATTAAACTGTTTGTTTTTCTATACTTTTCTATATAAATCTTGCTTTGTTGGAAAGAGATTATTTAATTTGTGACTGATCGAGATGAGATGTCCATTGTAATATTGTGATCAATCACTCAGGAATTTGTTTATGTTTTGCTTTATTGTATGCTGAACGTGCCTCCTTCAATGACTACTATCTCAATGGAGTATACTTATCTGCTCTTCTCTTTGATGTGTCTAGTATTTCCCTGTACTTGGCATGCTGTATTGTCTGTATTTTCTCCTGTATAAATTCAATAAATGTTTTTCTGTTAAAAGAGGTGGTGAGGAAGTGTCACATCACCTCCGCACTGCCTGTCAAATGCCTCTGAAAAGTAATCCACACCAGACCAAAGCAGACCGCTTTTCAGAGGTGTGGCAGTTTGACAAAAGTCTAAACTTATGCTAGCCATAGGTGTATTAAAATTTGCCCAGTTCAGCAGGGACCCGTTCCCACTCAACTCTCAAATGTTGAAGAACGTTTCTCGATCAGCCGGCTACAGCCACTGATCAGTATATTCTGACAGTGGAGGAGTCCCACAGTCAGAATACAATGTCTCAGTGGGGAGGATTTCTCCATCCACCTTGCTTCTGTGGATGAGGGAATCCATCTATGGCCAGCCTTCGCGAATGTTTTCATAGTTTCACAATAATTCTGGTGCAGTGTTAGCCTGTGAAAAAAAAATGCAGTAAAACCAAGTAAAAAATAACTCAATTTAAGTGCTGAATAAAATATTTATGCAAAACATCAATATTTACTGCATTCATTAAACATTGCATGCTTTTGAGGTAAATAACACAAGTTTTTTTTGCGGCAGAATGGCAGAACTCTCACAGTATTTTTCTTTTAGTGAATTGGCACCACAGTCGGTAGGTGTAATAATAGCCCCAAGCAATAGTGTCAGTGGCTGCAATAATAACCCCCAGCACTGCTGTCAGTGGCAGTACTGTTAACCCCTCCCCTTCATGATTGTTCAATGGCAGTACTGTTAACCCATCTTTTATTGCTGGTCAGTGCTGTTAACCCTTTCTCCCCAGCATTGTATTGCTGATTAGTGTTGTTAACTCCCGTACCACCAATATTGTCACCACCTTGCATTGCTGGTCAGTGCCATTAACACTCCCCCCACCTTGTAATTCTGATTTATTCTATTAAGGCTTCATGCACACTAGAAAAGCTAAACACTGCTTTAGAAATGATGGACAAAAAATTATGTTATAGCGATTTTTACAGCGTTTAGCCTAGTGTGTACGCTACGTTTAGTAGCTTCAGCATTAAGAATGTTATGGTGTGGGGCGGCCGCCATCATTAACAACCAGTGAAGAGCTGCCATTAACAACAAATGAGTCATCAGCCTTCAGCGGGGGTTCCCTGTTGACAGTTGAATGTTAAAAAAAACATTGCCGGCAATAAAAGAAAATGGGAAAAAACGCAGTGGAGTCCCCTGCAAAATCCATACCAGACCCTTATCCAAGAATGTAGCCTCGCAGGTCAGGAAAGGGGGGGGGGACGAAAAAGCGCTCCCCTCGAATCGTACCAGGCTACAGCCCTCAACATGGGGGGGTGATTTAATGTGGATGAGGACAAGGGCCTCTTCCCCACAACCCAGGCAGGGGGAGCTTATCAAAATCTGGAAGCCCCCTTTAACAAGGGGGCCCCCAGATCTCACTCCTCCCCCATGTGAATACATATGGGGTATATAGTACCCTTACTCATTCACCAAAAAAGTGAAAAAGTAAATAAAAACACAACACAAGATTTTGATAAGTTCTTTATTAAAAAAAAAAAAAAAAAGCATCCCCTGGTGTAGATCCATTGTCAATCACTGGCCCAGCATGCCTCAATTGATAATGTCATGAGGGGGCGGGATCACTCGGTGACATTTTCAGATGGCCCCCGCCCTTTAATTATTTAAGCACTGTCAGATGGCGAGAGCTCTCCTCGAGACTGGAGATTTATGTTTTTTCTTTTTTCGGGTCAGTGGTGGTGGCGGATGTTGTGATTGACGATGGATCTACACTGAGTGACATTTTTTTTTTTTAATAAAGACTTGTCAAAAACTGCCTACTGTCTTTTTTTACACTACACCTTTTTTTGGTCAATGATTAGGGGTACAATGTACCCCATAGTCATTCACATGGAAGGGGGGGAATCTGGGGGCCCCCTTCTTAAAGGGGGCTTTCAGATTCTGATAAGCCCCCCACCCACAGACCCCCACAATCACCAGCCAGCGTTGTGGGGAAGAGGTCCTTCAAGGTGCTTTGGGGGAGGAGTCCCCTCTGCCACAAAGCTCCTCCCCCCATGTTGAAGGCATGTGGCCTGGTGGATTTGGTGGGCACCCCACTCTGTTTTTTTGGGGGGTTTGGGTAGGGTTTCCCTTAAAATCCATACTGACCCAAAGGGCCTGGTAAGGATTGGGGGTAACCACCACACTTTTTTTTCCACATTTTTTTTTGCTGGCAATGGCTTTTTTCCTACAATCAGCTGTCAGCGGGGAAACCCACTGACAGCTGCTGACTCATCTGTTGTTAATACCGCAGCGGCCGGCTTCCCGGCCCACCTTTTATCAATCAGCTATTCACTGGTGTTAAGGCCTTTGCTTCAAAGGTTTAGTAGAGTTTAAGAGCTGTCAGTGTTTTTTCTGCCAAAATGCTGCTGCAGAACGCACTGGCCGAGAGGTTTTCTTCTGCCACTAAACTCTCCTGACAGAAAAAGCTGCTAAAAGGCTATGTGTGTATGAACACATGGGATAACATGCAAGGGAGTTTAGAGGTAGGAAAAAAAAAAAAAGTCTGACGCTCAAAACAGCAGCTGTAAAAACACCCGGTGTGCATAAGACCTAACCCCCTAACCCCCCCATTCTGTAATGCTAGTCAGTGAACCTCCCCTACATTGCTGGACAGTGTTGTTAACCCCCTTCCCTCCTTTTGCATTAGTTCTTTCCCACCCCCATTGCTGGTTAGTGTTATTAGAGCCTCCCCTCCCCCCCCCCCCATCATTGCTGGTTAGTGTTATTAGAGCCTCCCCTCCCCCCCTCATTGCTGGTTAGTGTTATTAGAGCCTCCCCTCCCCCCCCCCCTCCCCCCCCCATTGCTGGTTAGTGTTATTAGAGCCTCCCCTCCCCCCCTCATTGCTGGTTAGTGTTATTAGAGCCTCCCCCCCCCCATTGCTGGTTAGTGTTATTGGAGCCTCCCCCCCCCCCCCCCATTTGCTGGTTAGTGTTATTAGAGCCTCCCCCCCCCCCATTGCTGGTTAGTGTTATTAGAGCCTCCCCTCCCCCCCTCATTGCTGGTTAGTGTTATTAGAGCTTCCCCTCCCCCCCCCATTGCTGGTTATTGTTATTAGAGCCTCCCCTCCCCCCTCATTGCTGGTTAGTGTTATTAGAGCTTCCCCTCCCCCCCCTCATTGCTGGTTATTGTTATTTGAGCTTCCCCCCCCCCCCCCCCCATTGCTGGTTAGTGTTATTAGAGCCTCCCCTCCCCCCTCATTGCTGGTTATTGTTATTAGAGCCTCCCCTTCCCCCCTCATTGCTGGTTATTGTTATTAGAGCCTCCCCTCCTCCCCTCATTGCTGGTTATTGTTATTAGAGCCTCCCCTCCCCCCCCCCCTCATTGCTGGTTAGTGTTAATAGAGCCTCCCCTCCCCCCTTCATTGCTGGTTAGTGTTATCAGAGCCTCCCCTCCCCCCCTCATTGCTGGTTATTGTTATTAGAGCCTCCCCCCCCTCATTGCTGGTTATTGTTATTAGAGCCCCCCCCCCCCCCTCATTGCTGGTTAGTGTTATCAGAGCCTCCCCTCCCCCCATCATTGCTGGTAATTATTGTTAGACCCTCCCCCTCCCCCCTCATTGCTGGTTAGTGTTATTAGACTCTCCCCCTCCCCCCCTTCATTGCTGGTAAGTATTGTTAGACCCTCCCCCTCCCCCCTTTATTGCTGGTAAGTATTGTTAGACCCTCCCCCTTATTGCTGGTAAGTGTTGTTAATCCCCCTGCCCCCACCCCCATTTCTGGCGTAGTAGCTGTCACCACAGAGAGAAGGTTGTGGTAGCCCAGGCGTAGAGAAGCTGCAGTCCAGTCTTGGTTTTCTTTCACTGTTCAGATCCTGACATCCTCTTTTCACACCTACATGTAATATGTTCCCAAAAGGTGAACTTATCCTTTAAAGTGAATAACTCTACACCAAGTTCACTGTGTGGACCATGCACCTATCTACACTATATACTGTATACGATGATTATATCCCACCTTGAATGCCTTTTCTCAAGAGGGATTAAATTCAGTTCAGATAATCTTTCCTCATAGCTGAGCTCCTCCATGCCTCTTATTAGTTTAGTTGCCCTTCTCTGCTCTTTCTCCAGCTCCCCAATATCCTATTTGTGAATTGGTTTCCAAAACTAAACTGTGCATTCCAGATGAGGTCTTACCATTTGTTTATAGGGTGGGTGTTGGTAATAGATAAATAACAAGAACACTTGTTAATAGTATTCTTCTAGTGTGTATGTTCAGTTTCATCAATCACAGTCTTCCTCTTTTTGTTTTGTGTATCGCAGGTTAAGGTTACAAAGAAAATAATGCAGCCAGCTACAAGAGATCGCTATAAAGAACTTAGTCCTGCCCTGACTCCAGAGGGCAATGTTGTTATGAGCTTTAGCTTTGACAGTTATCAGCTCGAAGAAGAAGAACTGCAGACAACCGGAAACAGCCAAACACAGGGAGTTCTTACCTTAATGGAGCCAGGTATAGTTAGATGCCTCTTATATCACACAATGACATTTTAATATATTCATTTTATTATTGTAATTTAGCACAATCAGTAAAAAAGATTAGATGCTTTTGTAATTGACCTGTGTGTTCATGATATGTATGGATTTGAAGAGGGATGGTCATAATATTTATTTATGTATTTCAGGTACTTATATAGCACTGTCAATTTACGCAGCGCTTTTACATATATATATATTGTACATTCACATCAGTCCCTAACCCTCAAGGGGTGTACAATCTAAGGTCCCTAACTCACATTCATACATACACATACTAGGGCCAATTTAGACAGGATCCAATTCACCTAACAGCATGTCTTTGGAGTGTGAGAGGAAACCGGAGTACCCAGAGGAAACCCACACAGAGAGAACATACAAACTCCAGGCAGGTGGTTGGGATTTGAACAACAACCCTAGTACTGCCAGGCGGAAGTGCTAACCATTTAGCCATTGTGCTGCCCATACTTGTGACATCTTCTCTTTGGAGTTATGAGGCTTTCTAGATATGGGTTGGATGAGGGTTGCTGCCCTTTCCCATTCTACTATGAAGATCTGCCACTGCTCAGGCTTGTGACAAGGGCAAAGGGAAATGTTCTTGATCTTGAATGCCTGTTTAATTATATACCTCACAACGTTTCTGAAAAGATAAAGAGGATCACCTTTTAGAACATGGTATGACGGAAAAGGAAAAGGACACGTCCCTGCCATGGCTGCAGGTGCATGGACCACACAGATCTAATATGCAGAAAATAACTGGCTAAACCACACAAGAGCTCTATTTTTCCTTTATGTTGGCTTCTCAAAATAACAAATGCAGTAATACAGAGGTTGGATAAAACGTTTAGTGCAGGATAATAGTTTGGGTAGTAAAATAGTTCATAGTTAATTCTGTATAAAGATGTACACATTGGACCAAACAAAAGGACTGCATGAGAGACAGAGGAATTTGGTCTCAAAAGAGGGATAGTGCCTGCAAATAAGGGACAGTTGGAGCTGTGTAAATATATCTTGACATGCAAACGATCCTGGTCACATGCTGCTCATTTTGCATGGCCAATACTAAGACAGAAACTTGCTTAACTTTTATTCCTGCATTGTATAATTGTGCAGGTCTTTGGACAGTGTTTGTGCCTGTGTTGATGGGAAAATGCAGCTTGATTTTGACATAAGTTTGAGATTTTTCTGATAGAATTTACTGACAGCATTCCCATAGAGTGGGGAGTGAAGCAGTTCTTATATGAACATACTGTATGTCTGCTCAGATGCATATTGTCTGCTGTGTGTCCATTTATCAGTTATGCTGAGTGGTGTAACTTGTGTTAAACAAACATATCACATATACATGTACTGAAAGTGAATGTAAAGCTTTGCATTTTTTTTTAATATCAAACATGTTATACTTGCCTTCGCTGTGCAATGGTTTTGTACAGAGCAGCCCCACACCTCCCCCCTGCCAAATGCCCCCATAGCAAGCTACTTGCTATGGAGGCACTTGTGCGTGCTCGTTCCTGAGCCAGCTCTGTGTACCCATTGACACACAGAGTACATCTCAGCCCCGACATCCCCCCGGCTCCCTCCTCACTGGCTGTGATTGACAGCAGTACGAGCCATTGGCTTCCTCTGCTGTTTATCTGTTCAATGAGGAGAGAGATAGTCGAGAGAGACGCTGCTCTCATGCACATTGGTGAATCAAGATCAGACTCAGGTAAGTATGGGAGGGTGGGGCTGCACACTAAATGCATTATGGTAAAAAAAAACCTTCAGGCTTTAGAACCACTTTAATAATTCAGGATGCTGATACACTACAAACTAAATATAATAATAATGTGACTAATCTTTTTTCCTCATACATTCCATATTAAATTCATTTTATAGATATTTCTTCATTACATTTGCTGAACTTAAACCTTGAAAACCCACATATGAATTAAATTATAAAAGAAATTGTAATCCCTTCCTGCCTGAAATGTGTGATATACATTTGTAGCCTTCATTTGCCAAATTCTGCACATTATTTTCCTTCATTCATGACAGAACTTTGTAGCAGTGACTGCAAATAAGTAACAAACTGGAGACACCATTTGCAGGGCTAGGAAACAGAAATAATGACAGAAATGTGTGCTATTTTAGAAGGAATGTGATCAGTAAGCATAAGCTACTACTGTGTTCCACTCATCCATCAAAAACCCATTTTTTTGTCATCAAAAGTAGCAGCTGGTGAAAAAAAGATAAAGGTAACAATTATACACTTCTGAAATGACACTATACATTTTTTGTTAATACTTCATGCTTGTATAAAGATTGCCCCACAATTATATGTCTTCAGTTTTTCTACAAGACCAGTTTTTCTACAAGACCACTCCACATATTTACATTAAAGTGTTACTAAACACACAACAGTAAAAATAAGTCTATACATGAAGTAAAGCATTCTTGTTATACTCACTGTGGAACCTAAGGGGTTAATCCTCCACATTGTGAAAAGGGCTGTTTGATCCTGTCTTCTCTGATCCTCCCCTTGTTCCACAGTCCTCAATCCATCTGCTGATAGTAGACAGTCCTAGGTGACACTGCACATGCTCAGTTTGGTGTGCATTGCTAGAGAGGGTTTTTTTGGGGGGGTGCATGTGAGTAGCACAGGGCCAATCAGCACTCTCCAGGCAGAGGGCCAGGGGTCATGCAGCCTCATAGGACAGTTAGAGAAGAATGAAAATTCCTTCCACAAGATGAACCAGTGCTTAGCTGGACAATAATAGAAGTCACATGACTGCTATATACTCTTGAATGAGAAAAGGTATTTAGCAGTTTATATTTACTAAAATAATTGCATTTCCATGTTCTGTGTACTGTGGGAGACCAGATGTAGTGAATACAGGGTTCTGGGTTTAACAACTTTATAGATTTTTTCTAGTATCAAACAAATGCTTGTTAATGTAAAATATTTTTTCTCTTTTACACCTCACCTGGTCATTAGTCCTTCATCATTATCCATATAATTCTATCCACTTTACATCCACTGGACACTATACAATATAATCCAACCCAAACCACACCGTGCAATATATATCACCCAACCCTTGGTCGCCAAGACCTCTTCCCAGGAAGTCCAAAACAAAATATTTCCCAGCGTCCAGTCAAATCAACTCCATCAATGTGTATCCTTCAGTGTCTTTACAATTCTTCAGGATTCTTTAAATTTTTTTAATTCTTATTAAAGTGACATCCCCCTCTTCTTCCTTAAACCTCAAACAATATCACGTAGAGAGCGCACAGTGCATTACCTATGCCATACCATATAAATAAAACTAAAATACACTCACAAAAAGTGCTCAAAGCATGCAAAAATTCCACCACGTGTCCTTCCACATGTGATATCTGTAATTCCTACTCTCACCCTCTAAACTGCTCAAATGTATTCCCAGCTCGTGCATTCTTGCTTCGAAATCACTCTTTCTGAATAATCGTTCCTTCCAGAATTTAAATTCCATATAATGTAGTATTATCAACAATTATTATCGTGCCACTCTGAGCTGGACACTGTCTACTTCTACTTTATTTCAAAACCAGCAAGACAGAAGGTGCAAGCTGCTTTTACTCATTTCTTACATATTTTTTTTCAAGTTTGGAAAACATTGAAATTTTACTTCTCAACTTTTGCAATCAACTTCTCCTCTTATGCGCAATAATTTTATAAGGCCTATATAAACACTTACTACCTTGCAAAGTCTATTAGAAAAAAGAGAAGTAATGTCAGAAAGGTATTCATTCTGCAACTTAACATTACAGTTGGGTGTGTAGTGATTGGGTAAAAAATCACAAGCACGGCAGAAGTATGTTCCTAGCTATTCTATAATGGTGGCCACAGTGGGATCTGTGTTTTTTTCCATAACAGTAGTTTTATAGGACATTGGCGTTGATTTTCTAAACACAAATAGACTATTCACTTTGCAAAGGAAGTTGCACGTTGCATGGGAATTTTCCCCAGAGTTTAGTGAATGTAGTGAAACTAACTCTATAAACTTCCATCATCAAATCATGTTCTGGCAAAACGTGCGTTATTTTTTTTTTATTTTCCTTGCACATGATTGGCTATTCTTTTCATAGTGTAATTTCCCCACATTCACTAAGCTCTGGGGAAAATTCCCATGCAAAGAGCAACTTCCCTCATGAAGTGAACAGTCTTTAAGCCTAGTACACACAATGAGAAAATTGGACAAAAAAATACAGCCGTAGCGATCGTCTGATAATCTGATCATTAATACACAGCTTTGGAGAGCCGATCACAACAATTCATATCCAAGGGAACAAGCACGAAAATGTTTCTCGTACGATAACAGAACAAACGATTTTCGTTTAATCAACATGATATTCGTCCATAAAAAAAATCAAGTGACCAAGACTGCGCATGCTCAGAAACTAAAGAATACATTACAATACATTACATCACTTCATCAAGTTGTATTTTGTCTTACAAGAATTTTCGTAACTTTAGTAACCTCTTCATTTTCGATATGAGACTAGCATGCAAAAAAAGAAAAAAAATCAGCGATCATTTGTCCGATAGTCTCAGCGTTTGTCCGAGGCTTTAGTAAATCAATCCCTTTGAAGCAGGTTAGCCCAGTTATCTTTACATTGGAATAAAGTCTTACTACCCACTAACTATTGTGTATAACCTTCTTTTTCCTTTATGTTAAACTTAGTTCAGGGGCGGACATTTGAAAACTCAGGCACTGCCCGAGGGCCCGGGGTCAGTAGGGGGCCCCATCAGATGCCCCTGGTACCTTTTTTCATAGGCTTTTTTGAGTTTTGGCAAGGACACAGGGGCCCCATGATCCCCTATTGCCCGGGGGCCCCATGAGTTGTCAGTCCGCCTCTGACTTAGTTCATTACATCTGAGCTTTTAACTGAAGTAGTAAAAGTCGTTTGGGTTATTTGGTTTCCTCCTACTGGAAACATAGTTGAAAGCTGCTTTGA